AAGTTTGCATCCATCACCTGCAGGATGGTGCCCCCCAGTTATAAGTGGCTAGATTCGCCCCATTAACTATAGTTATATCTGCCATAAACCATAGTTATGGGACTTATAAACCAACTTAGCTAACTATGGGGCACCACCTTGTGATGGATGCTCTAAGATGCTGGCAGAACTGAGAGGCTATCCATGGGCCACTCGGTGCTGTGGTGTTGCGTGAGGCTCAAGGGATTTCAATGGCGTTGCGTTGCGTCTATAGTCTATGCACAGGTCCCGTGAATGGCACGGGCTACCAATACAATACACAAATTACCGCCACACGCTGCTTCAGCAAAGGTACTGAACCAGTGGCCCGCTGGCACTGCACACAATCCTTGCAGAGGCAGAAGCGCCACACAAACAGCAGACTATTCGCACGCCCCATTGTGAAGCCAACGGTGCCAAAGTTTTGAGCTGTGTGCCAAAGATCACAACGCAGTCATGCTTCTCAAAACTCAAGAGAAAGCATTCTGAGCATGCCGTGGAAACCGTTCTTATTATGTTTTGTTTTGTCCAGCCATTACTGCACGTCCAAAACTTGGCGACCCGGCCTCAAATCCATCCCTCTCGTAAATCTCCTGAACAATTGGATGCACTATTTCCTGGCACAGAAGCCGGAGACCGAAACGGTTCGACATGGTTCGACTCAATTGCTTCAACTCATGTCCTAAAAGTCCTAAAACCTCATGTCCCCCTACATCCCCAATCACAAAGATGTAAGCAAAACGCGCGTAGCCTGCATCTCCCTGCAGCATTACCGTGAAAAGTGGAGAACAATGAAAAACCTTCAAGCTGTGATTTTGAGTGCGATGTGTCACCTTAGCTGTTGTTGCTGTTGCTGCTGGCGCTGCGCTGCTGGTGCTCTGGCCCTTGCTGTGGCTGTTGTCGCTATGGCGCTGGTGGCTGGTGAGTGGTGGGTGGTGTTGGCATCAGCGGTGGTGGGTGGGTGGTGGCTGCACTATTGATGGGTGGATGGTGGGTGGTGGGTGGGCGGCGGGTGGGGCCTTCGTTGATGATAGTGGGCCGCAGCGATATGTTGTTGCAATGGTCCGGCGGTTGTTCATATTCACGGTTCCGGCATCACCCGGCCCGGCACGCAGCAAAATTCAAAACAAGCTGCCACCAAAAGCATCGCCCAAATAGTCATGATCACGAAGCAGAACCTGCGCACATTGATGGTTGTTCCGTGACAGTCTAGCTGTCTTCTTATATGAAGTGGACCATCAAAGGTAAATTCTCCTGCGTTAAAAAAAACACTGGTGCTGAATCGCTTCAGGCGGCATCGATATCAAATCACTGTCAAAGCACCGGCCGGTTGAAGCCATGCATGGCGACAGCATGGAGGTGAAAGCATGGAGAATCATGGAGCCAAGTTGCAGAAAGCACCAAAGCAGCGCCTGCCCATTGAAAGAGCAGTGGGTTGTTAAGTGAAACCCCATATGGCGGAGAAACATCCGAGCTCACAAATTGCAACAAACAAGTTTTGCCCACCATATCCACCATGCAACTCTTACGATAGCTTTGGATAACAACGAGCATGTGTGCAAAACAGTTTGCGGGTGATGCTCGGGCATACTGCACCAGAGTGAAACGCAATACTTGGGCGAGGCATGCTTGAGTCCTGTGCTAAGCATACTGTTCTGGGATATTCTGGGTGCTCAAGCACCGGAATTAGGTAAGCTCGGAAGAGATGGAAGATGATACGGTAGAAGGGAATGGCGCCGAGAGCATCTATGGGTCCGAAAAGAAGAAGCTCGGCATCAGGAAACATTGTAATACATTGTATCTTAGAAAAGAAGTGGTTCAGAGCAGCATTGACTTAGAGAAGGATTGGCTCAAAGCAGGATTGGCTCAAAGGAGAGTCGCGCCCTGGAGAAAGGCAAGCAGTGAAAGAGGTAGCTCCAAGATGCTCAAAGGAGAAGTAATGCAAAGACGAGTTGGCTCAGAGAAGAAGGAGCTCGAAGGAGAGAGGTGGCTCAGTCAATTCTTCAGTCATTCGTTATTTATCCGCGTCCAATCTGTCAATTTCAGTTTTCGGACCAATGAATCATCAGTCAAACGCACATGCCCTTGAGGATCCAAGGATCACTCAAGCCGCCATGCTGGATCACTCAAGCCGGCCATCTTGGATACTGTATAGGGTTCATCTTTAGGGGTGGGGACTGCGGAAAGGGGGCGGTGGGGACAAGAGAGGTACAGGGGGCTTAGGGGACTTTGGGGGTGAAGGACGATCATCTTTAGGGGGCGGGGAGTGCGGACAGGGGACAGTCGGGGCAACAGGGGCACAGGGGAGGAGGATGTAGGGCAATTCGAACCCATTGCACACACCTAACGTTCAAGTTTCGGGGCTGGAGATAGGGGTACAGGACTTTCGCCTCTGTAAGCTTTTAGGACTTATCATTAGGGGGGACTGGGGACAGGACAGAGGGGATAAGAGGGGAACGGAACATTTTCGGGACGCGCAGCTACACACGTTCAAGTAAGACAGGGGCACCACGATCAACTTGGCTCTACTCTGACTGCGCCCTGACTGATTGGAGACAAACCTTCAAGCTTCATCTTCAGGACCGGAAGGCTTGGACAAGGGACAATGGGGACCTTCTGGGACACTGGCACCTATGGCGTGGGAAAGCAAGATGGTCTTGGGTATACTTGGAATTAGGGGGAACACACGTGTAGGACTCATCATCAGGATTTAGGGACGGGGAAATCACAAGAGAGTGTTAGGAACTCTGAACAATCAACAAGGAATTCATCCACCTCCACCAGAACACAACATTGCCCACTTGATACTACGAGTATTATCCAAAACCATGGGCAGCTCTTCATCTATCTATCATGTAGGCGTAAGCGAGCCAAAAAGCAGACGTAAGCACTGTCATTGAGGCAAACCTTGACAATCAACAGCCGGCTTTCCTCTTTTAGCGGCGCCGCTGGGTGCTATGGTGCTGGCTGTTTTTGGACGTGGACGGCTGCCTTGTGGAGTGTGTGAGTGTGAGCACCGCACAAGGCGGTGACGGGAGTTTCAGAGATAGGAAACCTATAGAAGAGGCGAATTGCTGCGATGCATAGATGGCAGAGCGAACCAACTAATTGACCGAAAGGTGGCTGAGGCTCTCTGTCTCTCTCTCTATCTCTATCTCTATCTATCTCTATCTATCTCTATCTACTTAAATCTATCTATACCTATCTATATCTACCTACATCTATCCCTATCTATCTGTCTATCCATCCATCCATCCATGTGTCTATCTATCTATGTCTGTCTATCTTTGTATCTTTCTGACTCTGTCTATCTATATCTACCGACCTGAAAATCTATCTTTCTATGTTGACTATGAAAAGCTCCAAGGGCCTCCATGGGGCCATGTTGCGCCGCTGGGCTTCATGGGCTGCAAAAAAGTGGCTTAAGCAAATCTTACATCGGTGTTCAGCATGTCCCCCATGTGACACTCCAAAAAGGTCCCAAAACCTCCACGCTGCAGGATCTTTCATTTTAGACCAATGTTTTTGGGCTTGAAATGAAATACCAGGGTCCCTAGGTAGTAGTTGAGGGTATGAAGTTGGTAGGGGCCATGTCTTCTATATTCCTCTATAATCCTCTATAGAATCAAAGGAACCATTTCTATATCACATCACGATAAAATCAGGGGCACCATGCCGATATCACATTTTATAACTATAAATTCAGAACCCCCTGGGCCCACCTTTTTTAAAATGATACCCATTGATTTCCCATGGTTTAGCCTGATTTACAATATTTAACACTAAACATTAGTTAGCGCCTGTTAGCATGATCATGTATTATTTGCCCATTTCAACATGTTTAGCAGACTGATGGATATTGCCTCCAGCTACACCTCAAATCAAGTTAAATCCTTCTTGAGACATCTTAACAATGATGAGCAGCATACCTCATCAGCAACCGATAGCATGGGGAGATGCCTGGGTTTCTATGGGTTTCTGATTCAAAGGAGGAGGGCGCTGGATTTTCGCGGTTCCTGATTTTATAGAGGGCGGGGGTTGCTTTTCCAGGGGGGTAGCTGGCTGTTGACGTTAAACATAGCCCCCAAACGCACCAGAAAACTAGTTGAAAACAGACTCTCATAAAATTCTGTTGGTTCTTGAACTTTCCTACTTTTTCAAGTCATATTAAAAAAATCTAACTAAAGAAACTGGTGGTTTGAGACTCGAGATGATTTCAAGAATGGTGGGACACAGAAAATCATTCCAAAACTATGCAAAGCTGTCTCTCTAGCACTGGTCCAGGATCACAAAAAAAGGTGACATTCATACCATCAAATGTTGTCGACAATATCCAAGAAGAAAAAAAACGGTCCTGACAGCAGAAATATGTTTACTTACTTAACTTGATAACCAAAATAACGCCCTCTACAAAATTGTACCCCGTACAGAATCAAAACCACCATTTCGAACGTTTGATCCAAAACTCCGCAAGAGCCTCTCCATAGAATCAGAACCAAGAGATCGAAACTCTATTAGAATGAGCACGCCAGCTTCCAATGCAAGCAAAGGACGCGCTTAAAAAAAACAGTTTATTTGGAGCACATGTTCCAAGATTTTGAGTGGAAATTGGTAGGGGGATCCTATCTATCTATCAACCTCTATCCATCTATCCATCCATCCCTCTACCTATCCATCCATCCATCCATCCGCCCTTCCTCTAGCCATCTATCTGTCTATCTATCTATCTATCTGTCTGCCTGTCTGTCTTTCTGTCTGCCTGTCTGTCTTTCTGTCTGTCTGTCTATCTACCTCTCTATCTCTCTGTCCCTGTCTCTATCTCCATCTCCATTTCTATCTCTTTCTTTACCCATCCATCCATGGATCTATGGACCAATCTGAAAGGAAGCAATTCTGCGAAGCTTCCTTCAAAAGTCGAGGATGACAGGCCTAAAGAAAAGCAAGCCTGCGACACTTCAAAAAATGAAAGTTCACAGCTCCAAAACGACAAATTCTGCGACTGCCGCCAAAAATGGCAGCTCACAACTCCAAAGCGATGAAATTCTGCGAGGCTTCTTCAATTTTCGAACTTGGCAAGATCTTAACAGGTCTCCATGCAATGTCTCGGTACAAGTTCCCTTTTTGAAACCTCTGTACACGCTCTCTAGAAAAGTTCTCTCGGCAAGATTTATGTAAGAGACCTCTTGGCAAGATCTCTGCAACAGATCTCTATGCAATGTCTCCGTACAAGATCTCCAGAAGAGGTGTCCTGGCAAGATCTCTGTAGGCAAGATTCCTGTACAAGATCTCTATAAGAGCTCTGTTGGCAAGATCCCTGTGGGAGGTCTCTTGGCAAGATCTCCGAACAAGAGGTTTCTTGGCAAGATCTCCGTGCAAGCTCCCTAGAAGAGGCCTCTTGGCAGTCGAAATGCACATGGACATGTCGCAAGAACCCTGTTGTGTGGAAATGTACGAGGAAAATGCCGGACAAAAACTGCCGCGACAGCCGTTTTGTGCGAGCCTGCGCAGTCGACATGCACATGGACATGTCACAACAGCTATGTTGTGTGAAAATTTACAGGGAAAATGCCAAACGCGACGGATACCACCTCGATTGGACACCGGGCCTTAACACCTACGTAAGAACCCCTCAGTGTGGCCAGACTGTTTGGGGAAAAATGTGCTTCGCGCCACAGCCGCGTGCAATTTTTGATCTCTCATCCCACCAAATGGCTCCGCGCCCGCCGCTTTAGCCAACCTACTTTTCGACCTTCCGATTGGAAGAACACAGTGTTTCGGAACTTTTCTACCTTTTCGGGCACTCGCATCTTCTTGCTGCTGACTCTCTTCTCTGACTCTTTCTCTCTCTGACTCTTCCCACAACGGTTGCTGCATCTGTCCATATGTCGGAAGTTTGACTTCTAACCTTCCGTCGAATAGTTTTGACGCATGCGTCTTCGCAAACACAAAGCAGTACCTGACATTTGCCGATGTCGTAACTGGTACTGGTTTGTCTTTGTCTTGGCGTCTACCCGTCTAATCCCGTCTACATGTCTGGCGCCCTTAATCTTTCTAATCTAATCCGATGATTGCCAGGTACCCTGTGCATGTCTGGCAATTCACCACCATGGTCTCGTTTAAAACTCACAGGGCCTTCAAACAGGTTGCCAACATCGTCACCAGCTTCTGCAACTCCTGGGGGCAACAAAGTCATGCGGGCATGTCTTTGGGCCACAACAGCGAGCCTCAAATCTTCAGAGCAACAAGTTGCATCAATCATTGGATTGGTTTTGTTGGGAAAATCTACAGGAAACCATGGTTTTTACCATCAAATATAGGGCTTTCCGGTTAAAAATTTCCCATCATCCAATTCTATGAAACAAGTTGCATCAAGCAATGTGATGGGACTGCGCATTGACTGTCCTTCAGGGATCTGGTCCTTCGTAGCAGTTGCATAAGTCGAACAATCCCTCGGATCAGTGGTCTGTCGTTGGATTATGTGAGGTCGCTTTTGACTGCGCTTTGGCACAGTTTCTCCTGCACCAAAGTTGCTCTACCCTTTGTCCTGCTGTCCGTAAGCAGTGATAAACATCATATAATTAATTAGTGATATTAGTGATTATTGATTGTGGTATATAACGGTGTGTAATCTTGGGCAAAGAGAACTCTAAAATGTTGGGCAAAGGAAAGCTAGGAGAGGACTGGAAAACATGGACACCATTGCTTCATCTGACTCTGCTCCCGCTGCTGGGATAACCCACCATCACAACCGGGAATGACAGCAACCCACCATCTAAACGCTGGTCCGAGATGCGCGCAAGCCGGAGCACGCGCAGCACGTTGATTTTGGCAATGAGAGCGTCCGAGCCGACTCCAGTCGTGCCAAGGCTGGAATCAATTAGGTTCACAAAGATCTCCACGTAGCCACAGAGGATGATCACCTAACTCAAGCACCGCTCGATGATCTGATCCTAAAGTCACACCCGCAACATGCTGATTATAAGCTGTTACCCATAGCCTTGTGACTTTGGGAACCTCGAAAACACATGAAAAGATATTGAATTTCCAAACGTTCACGTTCACTATCGTTCACTGGAACACCTGGAACCCCTGTGCAACTGCTATAGAGATGGTGTGCACATGAGCTCAAGGTCCTGTTGGGCTAATGCTGTACGGGTACTGAAAGGATTTGAAAGGCAAGGCTCTATGTCCAAGATCACCATCCAGTCTTTCAACAATCGCTTGCCACGGACTAGGAACAGCAAAGGCAGCTCAGAAGTGTACAAAAACAGGCAAATGTCTGAGCAAATCCTCAGCCGGCGTAGTTTTTTTGATGACATGTGGAAAAAAACCTCAGGGCCTAGGAATGCCTAGGTCACTTAGGTCTATCATTTACAATTCTGCCATGCTATGCAGCATAGACTATGCTTGACTATGCCATATTTAAGAATTGTTATTTAAGAAATTGTGAAATATGTGAAAATAAGTAAGCGCAAAACCAAGCAACAAAACAAACCTTGAGGTTGGTTCTCCTCTGGCTCTGCTATCAATGTCATTGGCTGTCAAGTACGCGTCAAGCAGAACTACAATCCCCAGAAAGTTTGCGGTATAGTTGCCTGCACCGCAGCAAAAGTTTTAAAAGGTTGCAACGTGTGATGCCCAAAAGAAACGCACTTCAGGCAACCATCTCCAATCGTTTGATGAAGAGGCAGGGAACTACCGCTAGTTGCACAGCTCAGTCCAAAGATTTTAAGGAGACATCCTCCTTGCATTGCCAAAAAAGATTGTTTTCTCAAAGGTCACACACTTCGCAGGAAAATAATTGGGCATGTTGGAGCAATTTGAAGCATGGTGGGTTGCAAGTCTGTTTGCAGAGGATGAGCTGCGTCAGCAAAACGTGTGCACAAGTTACAGCCACTCAAGGTAGAGTTGAGGCTGCCAAAAAATGTTGTTTAAGTACCTACTGAGGCAATAAAATCAGGCTCAATCAGGAGGGGCGGCCTTCCACCAAAATGGAAGCATATTTCTTTGCCTTTCCAAGCCAATGATCAGCGTGCTCGACTACCTCGCAAACAGCTCACGACAAAATGGAAACCGGATGTTGAACAATCAATCCATATCAATCCTGTACAGTCTGCCCATTTCAAGAACACAACCAGCTATTTATATAGCTATGTCATGGTGTGATCAGCTGCAAAGACCCGAAGATGGAAAACCCTTAGTTTGCGACGCCGTGACGCCTCTTCAAGGCTTCAAGCTGCTAAAAATAAGGCTCATCACTCAGTGTCACTCCACAACCAGCCGACAGACTGTAGTTTTCCATAGGATACAGCGAACAGGCCGCTGTAATGCGTGCAGATCAAGAAATTAAAAATGCACTGGTTGCCGGATTCATTGGACAGGCCCAAATAGAATCTTGCACAAAGCACGCACTACCGTTCCTATTCCAATCTATTTTATCAATTGTCATCACTGTATCATTCGTCCCAGCCAGATTCCCGGAGCGAACTCAAAAAGGGACATTGAAGTATTGCAATGCCGGTAGTTTGACCGGCAGCAATTGTGCCCACGAAGAAGCACACAAAAAAAGAGTCGATACATGTCAAGACGCAGCGTGGGGACGCGCTGCCCTCTTCTTGGTTGCCAAGTCAGGGCAGAGGCGGCTGGTCATGCTGCTGGTGGTGCTGCTGCTGCTGGTGGTGGTGGTGGTGGTGATAAAGATGATGATAATGAATGATGGCTATTGATGGCTAATAATGATGATCCTGGGATTTTTCCCCCTTCAAAATGTCGAGTCATTGAAGAAATGATAGGCCGATAGGCGCTGTTTTGGCAGGTGAGAGCATCCACATTTTGGCAGGTGCCCTGTTGTGGCAGTCTTGTTTCCATGGAAACCCACAAAATGTTCATGGAGTGGCCAAGAAGCAGTCAGGGACTGAGTGTTTGAAGGAGCCAACCCCTCAAAGGGTCTGGGCACAATGCCTTTCTTCTCTTCTACACAAACTTTCAAAATGGCAATGCATCAAAGAAGTCAGTGGCTGGTATTACAACAATTGCTTGCATCAAAGCATGCTGTTGGTGATTGTTGGTGCGGTACTATGATGCTATGTCCGTCGTGCAGGTTGACGTCTCATACTACAACAACAGCAACAACAACAACAACAACAACAACACGACGACAGCGACAGCGACAACGACGACAACGGTGGGGTTGGGTAGAATTGGGTTGGTGTCGTGCTGATATTCAGTTGAAGTGCAAGGTGCTTCGCTACTCTGTGAGATGGGTGGGGTAAAATTTGGGGTAGGGTGGGGCTGCTTGCCAACTAGAAGCAACCAGATGCTTAGACATAGTATGTCGGCCAGAGGTTGTGGCCTTATGGTGCAGGCAAGCGCCAAAGGTCTGAAGTCTTTACCCGCTGCAGATTTTCGACGGGGACTCGCTGATGTGAGGACTTTAGGGCAGATAAAGATGGGCAAAGGGAGACGCGCCACATCCAGGTAACACAGGCGCCAAAACATAACCAGTGTTGCCTTGCCACGATGGCCTTGCCCGATCAACCTTGGACCGCTCAATTAGCAGAGAAACTGTCTCCTCTCTGGTGATGATCTTCCCCATCATGACGCTCGGAGATCTCTTTCTGAGTGACTGCCCGTTGGAAGGACTGGAAGGACTGTGACTGCGAAGCCTGCATGGCTGATATGGCTGATATGGCTGCAGTGCCGCATCTAGATTCTCGAACAACGGGGGGCGCGAGTTCCAGGCCTCCCGGACAAGCTTCTGGATCTACTCGGCTCACATGTCGTGGGAACAGCCTGAACAAGATGCCGATGCTATGAACCTCCTTTGTTCATCTTTGTTCAATGATGTTCTGCGTATGTTTAGAAACAGCCACTGTACTTGGCTACCACCCAGAACCGCCCACCCAGCCTCCAAGTTCGCCCCTGACCGTTGGCTGTCAGCGGAAAGGTTATTATCCTCGCAGCTTTTGTCAGTTTCCTCCATGATCAATGGATGCTCTTGGTGAGGAGCCAGGAGGCTGCGAGCGGCGTAAGACCCACGTCAGTTTCAAATTTCAAGACCCACAGAGGTCGCAACACCTCTCTGATATGACGGTCCATTTCATGCTGCAAATATGCATGCGTGACATTGCGTGACTATTTATGTATATGAGTAGATAGCCTATTACGGGATTGCATAATATCATATAATATCGTGATGCCTGTATGCAGATCATAAATAAATACCTGAAATACCTCAGCTCAAGGCATTCCAAATTGCGAACAAAGCATGCCCAGATGCTGGTCACACTTAGGGGATTCAACGAATCCCAGGGCACGGGTCCTTCGGGAGCGCATTCTGCTTGACCTGCAAAGGCGAGCCTTCTGCAATCCACACAGCCCAAACTTTGAGTTTGGCGAAGCTTGTTCGAATTTTCAAAAACCAAGGATCTTTTGCATCGCCTTGCCATCTTGGATATCTTGGGACACCATTTTCCCTCAATATTTCAGGAATTAGAAAACTATAGAAAACTATCTGGGTAAATTATCATAATTCACTGAAATAAGGTCATTTGGGGATATTTCCCCTTACTAACGATGATTCTAGTGAGGGAGAACAGGGTTCGGTCGTTATAATTAACCACTCCAAGCTGCGGAGACAGCATCACTCTGTGCATTTCTCGACTCAGCGCTGCCCGGCTCAGCCTGGCATCACCAAACGGAGAAAACGATGGTCAAATGCTGACTGTCTCAGCTTGAAAACATTTGAAAACCATCTCCGTGCAAAAAAAACTCAATAGCTTTCTCCGGATCAAGTAAGATGAAGTAAGGCCGTGTTCTTGAATGTTCTCCACCAATTCAAAACCATCTTTTTTCATATAAATCGTTACTGTATAAATCTGTTGATCCTATGACTCTGCCTGCCTGTCTGGCAGCTACGGGATGGGATTGGCTGTCGCTGTATGCCTGCAATGCCGACCAAGTCAAGCTGTTGCTCTGCAAATCCCGCCGCAAAACGCGAGCAATGAACACAACACAAACCACGTACGGACAGAACAGTCCTCAGCTAACTTCTCCCATGGTTATTGCGGGGTGTGGGTGGGTTGGGCGGGGTGGGTTCACCGGGTGCGTTCTAATTCTTTTTTAATACACATGTATGCGCGCTTGCTTCCGGCAAATTGAAGGGATAAGATCAGCTATGGCTAGGTAAGATAGGATAACAATGGATAACAATGAAGCAAGATTGATGGATTTTTCGACTGAAAAGATCGAGTAGGATAAAGTAGGTTCGATTAGATTGGATGGGAAAGATCAGGCAAGATAAGTCTGACTCCGCTACAAAAGTTTTGATCAGATTAGATTGGACTAGATAGATTTAAGAAAGCTGGATGGCTTGAGTAGACAAGGTAGGCAGACTAAGATAGGCTGCATAGACTGGATAGGTTGGATAGATTTAATAGATTAGATAGGTTTACTGGACTGCTGGATGGCCAGGTAGGTTATATAGATACCTATTCGATCTATTTGGTACAGGTTAGATAGTCAGATGGATGGACTTTAGCAGGTAGATGAAACGGATAATATGAAAAGAACTGAACATAGAATAGATAGGATCGGCTAGATACAATAGATGGAAAGGATCCATTACTAGGAAAAAAGATTGATAGAATCCTAGCTGTAGTTGGTAATATAGATGACATGGATGACTTGAAGATGAAACACATAAGGTGGGTTAGATAAATTCGGATATTAGATAGACATGCAATAAATACATGCATGCATTCATCCACACACGTGTGTACAAACAAAAAATGTGTTGTCATACAGTATATCATATATATATGATCATATATATATATATCTGTGTGTGTGTCTCTCTCTCTCTCTCTATCTATTTACTTATTAGCCTATGTATGAGCACACACACATAGAAACATAGAAACATTCCATAACATTCCCCGGTATCGCCCAGCATCTCACGTGTTGTTTCCCTCGCCGAATCGCCTCCGGCGATTGCCATTGAGTGCGAGCGGGAGTCCTAGGTGACCACCAGGTGGCAACGTCATCATCCACGTCATCACATCATCATCGTCATCATCAACATCTTCATTACCATCATCAGCATGTTCATGACGCTTTGCCAACTTAACACGTGTATAGATCTAGCTGGAAGCATCTACGTATTTGCAGCTGTAGGGATGCACATGTACAACTGGTGTGTAGGTGATTTTTAAATGCAAGCGTATAGTGTATAGATATAGGTGAATACATCCGCACACCGACAAGGGCAAACGTGCAGGTGCACAAATACACGTGAAAACATCTACACACCAACGGTATATATGCAGGTGTATAGATACAGGATAGATACAGGTGAAGATATGTGCACATCTACACCTGTATATAAAGATTATCAAATATTATATATATTATATATATACGTATACATATATGTGTGTGTGTGTGCAGGCGCATAGATATCTTAGAAAAGACTTGCCTATCTAGAGTCTTATAATGTTTCTCGTTTTAAGCGGCGGCGCTGCGCAGATCGATTCTTACGAAATGCATGTCTCTCCCACGAAAAGCGTGTCAATAGTCAAAAGTAAAGAAAAAATGATTTGGTTTGTGCGCAACGAGCCCTTCTCGCACGATTTTGCGCGCCGATCGACAGAGCCTAAAGTGTCTAACTGCGATGCGGTGCACAGGGACCAAATCCCAGACCAAACGCTGAGCGTCCAGAATTGAGGCGACATGATGAAATTACCCTCTGGTTATTTAACATAGCCATGGAAAATGGCCCATTTATAGATGAATTTCCCATTAAAACCTCCATTTATAAGGGATTTTCCATGGCTATGTTAAATAACCAGATGGTAAATTGGTTTTCTTGTGCCGAACTGTCGGAAGCTGTGTGTTAAAGTTCCTGGGCGCAAAAGACTTAAGCAACAATATACTGGTAACTTTGCAGAGTAACATGTCTAGTTAAAATTGTTAAATACACTCAAACGCGAAAGTCCTTGCAATGTATGCTGGGAAAACTAGAACACCATGGAAACGCATGCCTCGACCCCTGTCCCGGCACAGACCTTGCAAAATGTCAGTCCCCCATGTAAACGCCACCTTCCGCCTTACTTTCCCAAAAGATGATTCTATGTTACTTTGCAGTAGAACGCTGGCTCTTAGGATTGCGCATTTCTCGCAAGACGCTCATGCTACGCAAACCCTGCAGTGCGCAATGGTATTCCCCCCACAAGGAGGGCGCCGGAAGTTACAAAGTAATTACGCCAGCATAGACCTCAGATAGCAAAAGGTATTCGTGGGCAGCACTGCAGCATGTTTTTTCTAACGTGCACAGCACTCCGACACAAGCACCCTGCAGCGGCAGCAAAGCTGCAAAGCACCAACAGCACTCACAGCACCCTGCTGCAGCACCTAGCGGCACCAGCACCCCAGCGGCACTCTGCACAGCACCACTGAATGTTTGGTGGCTGGTAGTCTTGAAATGTCTTGAATGTAGTGGGAACTGTCAAGTTCTTGTCGCTTCCACGTCCCAACAGTGCCTGAACCAAGCGGTCCACAGGATGGGGCCAAGATTGTGGTTCAATGACGCGTTGAATAGCTTGGAATGTGAAGCGGAATCCGAAACATTTCGATCGCACAAACTTTCTCCAGCATGGTTGTGTATGTGTTCATGCACCATCATACACCATCCACATCTTGTGGAAATGTTTTGAACAACGACTGTTCGCCGTCAATTTGCCAAAGCTTAATGAATTCGCGTTTGCTAAGCGCCGTTTTAGGCCAGAAACAAAGTAACACATGTAACACTGCGTTTGTGCTAAGTAGCAGTCTAGGTAATATTGGAAGTGAATTTGTCAAGTAACATTGATGGCCATGTCTACATTTTGAAGTATCATCTGAGCACCTGGCACCGTGATCAAACATCACTTTCATCATCATCATCATCATCATCATCATCATCATCTCATCATCATCATCATCAACAACAACATCACCTCACTATGTTCCATTTGAACGTCGTATATACATAATTATGTACATATACATATATATATATATATCAATTTATCTACTTATTTGTTTATCTACTTATTTGTTTGTTTATTTATTTATTTATTTAGTTAGTTAGTTATTTTCATTGATTTATATAAATATATATATATGTATGTATGTATGTATGTACGTATGCATGCATGTATGTATGTATGTATGTATGCATGTATGTGCATATATATATAATATATATATATATATATACATAGCCTTTGGAAAAACAAGTTGATGTATATCTCCCGCTCTCCTTTCAAGCCAGACTGTGGTCTAGTTTCTTTGAAAAGATGTACGATGGCCTGGCACATTCATTTGAAGTCACCAGGAAATGGAAGGAATAGAGATGATAGCTATCATAGCTACCATAGCTACCGAATGCTACCGAGATGCTCTGAGAGGCTTGGAATTCCATAGAAGTAAAGCAAGAGAAAGCCTGGACAAAACGAACCCGGCAGCTTGGCAAACTTCCACATCGAACATCGAAAATACATCGAGGATCATCGAAGCAATTCGAAGATATTCGAAGCACAAGTTCGTCCCCCTTTGGTTTCTGAAACATTTTGAAACTATCTGAAACTGTTTTGCCTGCTATGATCTCTTCATATCTCTTCAGTGTTTTCTGCTTCCGGGTCTTCTGCGTCTGGCACGTTTGATCGCACCTATCGAGCCTGGTAGTATGGAGAGTGTGAAAAAACTTGGTCGCCAAGGACTTTGTTTCTTCGGCATAGGCCATCAAGGTGCCTCATGGAATCAACGCTTGTTTAACGGATGGCGGAAGTAGGCAATGCTGCAATCCATCAAGGTACCTGGTTGCATTCAATCTATTGCAACGTATGGCAAAACGCATGGCAAAACGCATGGCAAAACGCATGGCGAGTAAATTCCTTTCAGTGCAGCCTCTCACGCTAAAAACTTCAGTAGCTTCAGGGCCAG